CTTCATTTCTTTCCTTTTCGCTAAATATCCTTAAAGTGATTATACTGCTTTTAATATTTTCTTCCTCTAATTATCCTTAAGTTCAGAGAAAAATTTTTTTTTGGAGACAGGGTTTCACTATGTAGTTCAGGTTGGTCTTGAACTCACTTTGTAGCCCAGGCTAGCCTCAAACTTGAAGCAATTCTCCTGCCTCAGCCTCCGAAGAGCTGGGATTATATGAGTACACCACCATGCATGCCCAGCTGAGGAAATATTTTTAATAAAAGGCTCAAGAATGTTCTACATATTTAATTATGCAAGGTTTTTTGCTTTTTTGCCAGTGCTGGGGATCAAAATCAGGGCCTTACACATGCTAAGCAAGCACTTTACCACTAAGTTACACCCTCAGCCTGGGTATTCTTAGATAATATCTAACTATATGGTGATATAACTATATGATAATATCTAACTATATGATATTTTTTTGGGGGGGGTTCCCGGTACCGGGAATCAAACTCATGACCTTGCACTTGCCAGGCAGGCACTGTGCCACTGAGCTAAATCCCCAGCCCCTAACTATATGATATTCTGAAAAGGCAAAACTATAGAAAAAGTAAAAAAGATGAGTGGTTTCCAGGGGCTGGAAGGGAAAAATGAATAGGTGCAGTACACAGGATTTGCAGGGCAGTGAAACTCTTTATGGTACACTGTATTTCCCCCAAAATAAGGCCAGGCTTTATATTAATTTTTGCTCCAAAAGACACAATACAGCTTTTTTTCAGGGGATGTCTTATTTTTTCATGGACAACAATCTACACTTATTCATGCAGAAAACCTACATTTATCAAATACCATCATGTTCTCTCTTTTGGAACATTGCTGGAACTCCCCAAATCCTGAATTCTTGCCTAAACTTCTTGTAACTCCATTTCCTATAGAACTGTTGACCGCAATCTCTCTTGTCCAGCAATAGAGCTCTCCTTTGATGAGCACTTCCCCATCCATGCACACTGTTCCTAGTGCATTGGTGACACAGTGTCAGTGATTTTATCCCATGAATTCTTCATCCAAGTCATAACCACTTGCAGGTGAGGCTTCCAGAAAGTTCCCACCTTCGAGGCATCAGCCTGGGTCTGGCAAGACCCATCCCTTCATTTTCTATGTGAATTTGTACTTTAGTGTTCTAGTAGCTTGCTGTGCATCTCAGTACCTTTCCCTGAAAGATACAGCTCATAAGAGATCATTTAGAACAGTGGACAAAATGTTTCTCTGCAGGCAACTATGCCAAAAAATTGTGGAGCACACTGGTGAGCTGACAGGTGAACAGGCAGGTGCAGCATCACAAAGACCTACTGTGACAACAGGAAAACAGAAAAGATGTCAACTGTGCCCTACAAGAAAGGACAGAAAAACAAAACATACATACTGTCAGTGTTAAGTAATACTTGTGTATGGAACATGCAGTTGTCGTGTGTAAAGACTGCCCCGTGTGTGACAGTTGAAGCAAAAGTTATTTCTGTGGTAGACTTTTTTTTTTTTTTTTTTTTTGGTCTTTTTTTTTTTTTTTTTTTTTTTGGTCTTTTTGAGACAGAGTCTCACTATGCAGTTCATGCTGGCCTTGAGTTCACTTTGCAGCCTAGGTTGGTCTCGAACTCACAATGATCCTCCTGCCTCAGCCTCCCGAGTGCTGACATTACAGGAGTGAGTCTCTGTGGTAGACTTTTCTTTGGGTTTACATTGTAGCTCACAAAGATTTTTACTTTTGATGTTATCTTTTAGGTTTTATAAGCAACTGATGTGAAAATGTTGATGTCTATTCTAAGCACTCATTACATATTTGATATTGTATTTTACTGACATCTTACTTCCCTGCTAAGTGCATGTTGTACAATATAACAGGAAGCTCCTGAAAAAACAGGAAGAGAGATGACAAGACTGCCACATACGAAAGGGAAGCTAAGCACACGTGCTGCCAGTGTAAGCGAGATGTGTGCATGGAACATGCAGTCATCGTGTATAAAGGCTGCCTTGGGTGTGACAGTGGAAGACAAGCTTATTTTTGAGGTAGAGTGCTGTTGGTATCTTCACTGTAGTTACTTTATTGATATCTTATGTTCCTGTTAACTACACACTATATAATGTACTGAGAACATCCTGACAAAACAAGACCACAGAGATGTCAAGTATGTCCTACAAAAAGGCCAGGAAAGCAAGAGGTGTTATCAGTGTAAGTACAGTGTGTGTACAGAACGTCATGTGTGCAGACTTCTTTAGATGTGATAAATAAAGATTTTTTTTTGTAGAATGGTATTGGTATTTTCATTGTAGTTCACAGGGGAATTTATTTGTGAAGTTCTTTTTTTCAGACTTTTTACACCCAAAACCAGTTAATGTTGAAAATTTTAATGCTTTTTTATAAACACTCAATAAGTTAAAAATTCAATATTTTGGGGTGTTTTTTTTGTTAAGTACTCATTAATATAAAAAACTCATAATTCATCAACAGAAACATTCTAAAGAATAAATGTGGGTCTAACAGACCCACCTTTATGCACCTTGATGACAAATTAGCCTTATGCTCCCAGGGTTTAAATAAAGGGTTAACTGAAGATGTACGAGACAGGAGTGGCAGTAAAAATGACGACAGAATGATGGTCCACACAAAAGTGACAAAGTTGCAGGCACCTAAATTCAGAAAACGTTCCTTTATTTCACAGGAGTGCATTATGTGTTACAAAACACAATGTACTGAATTATTAAGATTCCTGGGTGGACGTGGTGGCGCACGCCTGTAATCCCAGCACTCGGGAGGCTGAGCTAGGCGGATCGTAGTGAGTTTGAGGCCAGCCTGGGCTACACAGTGAGCTCAAGGCCAGCCTGAACTACACAGTGAAACCCTGTCTCAAAAAGACCAAAAAAAAAAAGATTTCTGTCAGACACAACCACGTCCGCTCCTTATCAAGTATGCATGTTATTCATGTGTTGCTCTGATTGGTCGTAAGTCTCAAGTTTATCTGTTCACACAGGCGTTTACCTCTGTCCAAAGGCACCCACTTGAATATTTACAAATACTGAAATATAATTTATAGTATCATTTAAGTATTAAAGTCAATAATACTATTTATATTTAATTTTACACTGATATCATTTCATAATTCAATACATCCATGTGTTGCAACAAATGTACTAAATGCGTCCATCTGGCCAATGCTCTTAACTGAAGCTTACGTTCAGGATGGAGCCTATGTCATGGGCATCCTGAAAACTCATGCTACGGCTTACTTTCTGGTTAGGGCTTATTCTCAGGGAAATATGGTATAATGGTATTCTCATTCACAAATGCAAAAAGTCCGGAGCAGATGTTAGGCCCCATCTCCTTTTTGAAGTAACAACTACTAACATCAATAAAACCCTGGAAAGTAAAGCCACTTCCATCTTCTCACGTGATACGCACAGTACCTCTGAGTTTCCCAGAGCAGGAAGCACTGCTGCCCCTGCTTGAGATGCCTCAGAGAACGCAGTGCTGTGCCCAGTCTCCGAGGCAGTAAAAGGAGCGAAGACTCACGTGCAGGGCTTTTAAACCAAGTCCAGCCACTGATGTCAACTTAATTTAATTTTATTTTGGCACATGGAATTCCATTTGCTCTCAGTATCTTCAGACATGGGACCACACCTGCTGTCCCTACAACACTTAGAAATCTGCCTTTCTGAAGTGGGCTGTGCTCTGTGGAGCCTCTAGGACTGCTCAGTCACTGAGAATGTAGAACGAGGAGAGGGTGTGCACATGTGTGTACTTGTATGTTTGTGCATGTGTTTGTAGCTCCAATTCCAGGGCCTTTGCTTCACCCGGAGAAAGAACATCTTCATCTGTTCATGTATTAGGGTTCCTCATACAACTTTGTCTGAACAGAGCTTCATCTCTGAAGACGACTGATCTCACTCAGACCTCTGTTCACCACTTTGACCCAAGGTGGTATGGTCACTTCTTACATCATCAACCAGTTCTACCCAATTAGTCTGAATGAAGCCCAAAATGAGTTTCCCATGGTCCCATCCCTTCTTTTTTTCAAGCTGGGGGTGGATCTTAGGGGCGCTCTACCACTGAGCTCCAACACCATTTTTTTGTTTTTTGGGTGGTACTAGAGAACCAAGGGCCTTCATACTAAGCTACATTCTAGCCCTTTTTTTTCTTTTGAGACAGGGTCTCACTAAGTTGTCAAGGCTAGGCTTAAACTTTCAGTCCTCCTGCCTCAGCCTACCACAGCACTGGAATTACAGGCATATGCCACCATGTCTGGATATCCCCAACCCTTTTTATTTTGAGCAGGGTCTCCCTAAGTTGCTCAGGCCGGGCTCGCTTGTGATTTTCCCTCAGCCTCACTTAGTGCTGAGATTACCGTAGCGTGCCACCATGCGTTACTTCAGTGGACCAGGCTTTCCACATCTGCCAGCGTAACTGAAGCTGCCCATTACTGCTGTCCCTCTCTCTTCATACACAATCCATTTTAGGAAAGCAACAGCCTCACGCTCTCTCAGGGCCGTAACAATTCTCCTCTGAGTATGTCTGCCTTCAGCCTAACCCAAGTGCTCTCCACCCTGCTTCACTCTCAGACTCTCCTTTCTATAGAGTGAGGCATTAATGATGGGGAGGAGCGGAGGGAATACGACAGCTTGCATTTCCTCCAGTTTCCAGGGAGGAAGGAACTTTTATTCCCCTCTCCAAGGAGGTGAGAAGTCCCACCTGAAGAGAACACTTTCTGCTTTCCATTCTATGACCTTATTTGTGCCCTTCTACAAGAAGAGGGTTAACTAATTAATTAGTCAGACAGATTCCAGGACATCCAGTGGGCTGAGGATTTTATCAGACTAGTAGCCAAGTGCATGAGATGGTGCTATGGTTAACTATGTCCTGATAAGTCAGGGTCTGTTCTCAAACCTGCTGGGGAAATTACATTTGGAGTCAGTATGAAGCCCCACTGTAAATCTACTTTTAGTTCTAAGAATGACAAGGACATCCAGAATCAAACCCAAGGCAGATCTTTATATTTCAACAGCTATTTGAGCATACAATATCAGTGAATTCTACAGCCTGACTGCCAGAGGCATCCCGGTGCTCAGGTCCGTTTTGGTTTTGCTTTGTGTTTTATCTCGATGCAGTGATCAAACCCAGGGTATCTCACACATGCTAGGCAAGACTTCCACCCCAAGCCCACGGTCCCTAAGTCTTAATCAGAGGCTTGATCTTAAATCGACAATACACACATTTTTTTGTATTCTCATTTTATAAGAGGGTCACATATCTCACTCTTCTAATTTTCAAAGTATGTGGCTTCCTTTTTACATATACACACAATCACTTTCAAACATAAATACCAGAACCTCAGGAGAATAAATTTAAGCAGCCAAGAGCATGAAAAAAAGGCCAGTCACCCGACTTTACAAACAATCATCTGAACATCTCTGGCCTCAACTTGACATAGCATCCAAAATATCTTATGTACATGGTCCGCAGGTTGTCTTGTGAGTCTAAAGAAATCAATAGCCATACTTGTCATTAAGATGGGTCCTGCCATCTCCACTTTGACCTACATCAAAGTATAAAAAAAGAAAGAAGTGTATTTACTTTTCCAAAATCAAGAGGGAAAAAATATCCACACATCAAAAGGCCAAGGAAGTTTCTTCTATAGTAGAAATTTACTTTTTGTATATAACTTCAGAATGTAGTCCTTTTTTTACTTCTATCCTAACATTTATTAGCAGATAAAAAGCAAACACTTCCAGTAACTAAACTTCTGTTAATTACTAGTATCTTAGAAACATCATCCACAGAAAAAGCAACATGCATGAGAATATGGGGAAAATGGCATCCTGTGTGTTTATACACAAGCACAAAATTTTCACAGAATGCAATTTGGACTATCTTCAAAATATCTTTAACTCAGCATGTTAACTTATTTTTCTTGCAGATGCAGCTCTATACTTTATATACTGCATACATTACAAAGTTACATATGTTAGAAGTTATTTATTGCAGAATTGTTTGTAATGGCCAAAAAAAACCCCAAAACAAACAAAGAAAGCCCCAAAATCAAAAAAACTGGAAACACAGCAAATCTATTGAGGGAACTTGCTTCCACTTGGGCAGAAAAAGTGGTAAAATATGTTTTACTGCCGAAATAGACATTTTTATATATTATATAAGGATTAAGAAGAAACTGATAGTATTTGGTTGTCCTCAGAGAAAAAAGTGAGCAGCTGGGGCACAGCCTAAAGATTTGTTTTTCCCTGCTAACTTAATAAAGTTAAAATATATGCAAAAGTAAATAGAAGCTGGGCATGGTGGTGTACACCTGCAATCCCAGCGCCTGGGAGGCTGAGCCAGGAGAATCACAAGTTCAAGGCCAACCTGGGATACACAGCAAGTTGAAGGCCTGAACTACATCGTGAAACCCTGTCTCAAACAAAACAAAACAAAAAGTAAATAAAAAACTATAATGAACCCCTCTGTACTCTTAACCCAGATTTAGTAATTATCACTATCCTGGTTTATCTATCACCCACACCCTTCTCTATCTTTTCTCATCTTCTACCACTGGATTATTTTAAAGTAAATACCAGATGTCAATCCAACCGTAATACCATCTGCATGGAATATAAAAACGTTGCCCTAATCTGCTGGGTGGCCACATGCCTATAGTCCCAGCACCCTGGAGGCTGAGGCAGGAGAACTGCCACAACTTTGAGGCCACCCTTGGGCTACGTAGTGAGTTCAAGGGAAGCCTAAATTACACAGTGAGACCCTGTCTTTATTTATTTATTTATTTATTTATTTTGAGACCCTGCCTTTAAAAAAAAGGAAAAAAAAAAAACTTTGCCTCAAAACATAACATCATTTTTAAAATCTTATTTCTTGTTATCATCAAAATTTTTTTTTTTTTTTGGTCTTTTTTGAGACAGGGTTTCACTATGCAGTTCAGACTGGACTTGAAATCACTTTGTAGCTCAGACTGGCCTTGAACTCATGATCAGCTCCCAGCTTACTTTAGATCTCAGTTCCTGAAGGCCTTTCACTACATATTCTTAACTTTCTTATTTTGAATTTAAATATACATTAGCTATTCAAAAACACAATCTTACAGGGAGAAAAAATAAAAACAATGTACCTTCAGGTGGAACCCACACACAGTAGTCTGGATCATCCTCAGGGTATTTCGAAGAAAGTGTAGGTAGAAACTGCAAAGAAAACTTGGGTTATTTTACTCAAATAATTAATTCCAAGAATCACCATCTTTATATGCATCTGCAAACCAAAACTGCAAGACAACAGCTTCCATCAGTGATTTTTTTTTTCTTTTTTTTGAAACAGAGTCTTATTGTGTAGCCCAGGCTGGCCTTAAACTTGCAGTGATCCTTCTGCCTCAGCCTCCTGAGTTGTGGGATTACGTAAGTGTGATACCATGCTCAGCCCATTAGTGATCTTGATGTCAATAACCTACTTAAGGGAGCATTCTCTTTCTGAATCTTGAATTTTTTCCACAGAACTTTAACAAGCTGATTTTCTAGCCAGTGAAAACGATGAGCTGTTCCTTAAAAGTGGAGGTAAAATACTGCAGATGTAAATACTTAATGGAGCCTGGCGTGGTGGCACATGCCTATACACCCAGTACTTGGGAGGGTGAGGCAGGAGGACCAGCATGAGTTCAAGGCCAGCCTGTATTACATAGTAAGACCCTGCCTCAAAAAGCAAAAGAAAACAAAAAAACTTAATGGCGTAACTCTCTGGGAGGGAAAGCTGGCATTTGCTTTTTGACTTAGGTGGAGAAAAGAGTTAACAGAACAAGCCTGACTGCTATCCTTTGACTGTTAACCTTTGTAAGGCTGGCCTTCAGCTGGTTTCTGGGAACTTGCATTTTGGGAGGGTCACTACTACCCTAACTGACACAAGTGATTCACTGTGCCTCTTTGCTTCAAACGATGTAGTTTATCCACCTGCTCTTTGTCTGGGAGTCTGGAATTTGGGTACAGGCCAGGCTGGGAATGCCTGATCAATCCCCAACAAACATCCTTGGCTAGGACTGGGGATTTAGCTCAGCAGCAAAAGTGCCTGCCTGGCAAGCGCAAGGTCGTGAGTTCGGTTCCTGGTACCGGAGAAAAAACCAAAAAAAAAAACAAAAAACATCCTTGGCTAAGTCTCTAAGGAGTTTCTTGTTAGCAACATTTCACACTTGTAACAACTCACTGCTAGGGAGTTAAGCACATCTTGTGCATCTTTACTGGAAGAGGGCCCTTCCAAGCTTGCATCAGTTTCCCCATGATTTCACCCACATGTCTTTCCCCCAGCTGTTGTGCCTGGTACCCCACTTGATCTCAGCCAAAAGGCTGAGAAGCGCTATGTGCCTGGTATCCTTCTGCAGTAGGAAATCATAGCTGACAGTACAGCCATATGCTGTCTTTATGCATTATCTGCAGGTGGGCTTGGGGCCTCCTGATACAACCTGGCAATCCCACTTCTGGAGGCTGACCATACCCACACAAAGTTACATATATGTAAGACTATTTGTTACAGCACTGAGGTAATAAAAGACTAGAAGCAACCCAAGGGTCTATCTGTAGAAAACTGGTTAGGTAAGGTGTATCTATGAAGTAGGACGCTCTTGATATATTGATACAGAATGATGCTCATGAGGGGCTGGGGATTTAGCTCAGCGGCAAAAGCGCCTGCCTGGCAAGCGCAAGGCTGTGAGTTTGGTTCCCGGTACCGGAGAAAAAAACCAAAAAAAAAAAAAAAAAACCAAAAAAACCCAAAAAAACAGAATGATGCTCATGATAGGCTAAAAAATTAAGATATAGAATGGAGTATATTAATTATCTTTTGGGTAATAAAGGAGAAAAATAACATATTCTAATGTCTTTGCAGACTAGGATATGAAGACTCACAGATTAGTAAAGAGGTCACCTATGAGACCAGTTATAAGGAACAGGGTAGATGAGAGACAAGAATAGGGAATTTACCAAAAAAAAAGAGTCCAGATTTCTAGGAGAGTGGCTAACGCTGCAGGAATTCTGTTAGGTTGGTCTCCAAAGTTTCACAGTCAGGTATGTGGCTCATAACAAACATTCATTCTTACTTTAGGAGAAGTGGAGCACTTACTTTGCCTGGACCAGGAGCTTTCTTTTTCTTCAATTCATTGGTGCTGTTCTCACAGTCATTCTCTGATGCTAATTTAAGAAAAAAATAGTGAGTACTTTCAGAAAAAGGAATATAAAAAGAAAAAAATTCCTCTACAGTGTTGTAAGTACTTAAAAAATTAGTAATATTTACCACTGTCACAGGGTGTAGTGTTGCACGCCTATAATCTCAGTACTCAGGAGGTGTAGGCAGGAAGATGACTCCGAGTTCAAGGCCACCCTGGGCTATATAGGGAACTCAAGGCCGGCTTGAACTACACAGTGGGACTTGTCTCAAAAAAAAAAAACCAAACAAACAAAAAAAACCACCTAGTATTTACCACTGTAAAAAATGTATTAAGAAGCCAGGCTTGGTGGCTCACGCCTGTAATCCCAGCACTGGGGAGGCTGAGGCAGGAGGATCGTTGTGAGTTCAAGGCCAGCCTAGTCTACAAAGTGAGCTCAAGGCTAGCCTGAACTGCACAGCGAGACTCTGCCTCAAAAAAGACAAAAAAAAGCATTAAGAACGACTGGGCACAATGTCACATCCACGTAATCCCAGCTACCCGGGAGGTTAAGGTAGAAGGAGTCAAAGTTTGAGGCTACTATGGCCAACTTGGTGAGATTTTGTCTCAAGATAAAATAAAAAAGGTTGGGATGTAACTTAGAAGTAAAGCTTTGCCTAACATGTGAGAAACCCTGGGTTCTATACCCAGTACCACAAAAAAATGAAAAAGGAGAGAGAAGCCGGGCATGGTGGTACACATCTGTAATCCCAGCATTCAGGAGGCTGAGACAAGAAGATCGTTGTTTGAGGCCAGCCTCAACTACACAGTGAGTTCAAGGCCAGCCTACACTACAGGGGGAGACCCTGTCTCAAAAGCCCAAAAAATAAAAAAACCAAAGGAGAAGGAATTTTTCCTTCATTAATATACTTAGTTTTTCAATCATAAGGCTGTTCTGCAAGCTTGAAAATGATAATATTGCTTTTATTACTCCAAGGTTTTATCATTGTAAGTAGAACCACATAAAAGCAGACTTTCTAGTAGGCCATCCTTTCAAAGAATTTATTTTAAAAGGTTTAGAATCACTTTCATAGGAACTTCTATTTGGTTTGGGAAGATGTAATACTGGGTAAGGTTTTGTCAGGCCCGAGAGAAGTATGAAGGTTAGAAGCTTTGTGGGGCAGGGAGAGGGTATCCCAGCAGGTACAAGACAAGTAAAGAAAGGCAAAAGGGCTGCATCGAGCACAGACCTCTTATACATTCCCATTTCATCAGGGACCCGGCGGCTGCATCTATCAGCATCTATATGGCCACGCCTGTGCTGTCGTACAGGACGGCTGCCACCCTCCTTATGAAATCAGGTGCCACCAACATGCTGAGCAGGGACAGGGGCTGCTGTGCTGCTTACCTGAGGGTTTCTCTCGTGAGGAAGCTGTCATACTAGTCTCTTGATAACCTTTACTCTGTTCTACTTGGCTGAGTTGAGGCATGTTTTCTATAAAAAGGAGTACCCAAGCACATCATTTAATTCATGGTAGAATGCAAAAAAACAGAAAAGCAAGAGAAACTATGCACAGCGTCCAGCTTTACACAGCTCTGACTAACTTTAAGGTTTTCAATAAATATGACTCCAGACATCTAACAGGGAACCAGCAGTTTTCTACTTTAAAAACTAGCAATGGCAAGTTTTTATGACCAAAAGTCTTACAAATGTACATACTCATTGGCCTAGAAACTCCATTTCCAGGGACATTTTTTCTTAAAAATAAGAATTGTAGGGGCTGGGGAGTTAGCTCAGGGGCACAGTGCCCGCCTGGCAAGCCTGAGGTCATGAGTTCGATTCCCAGTACCAGGAAAAAAAAAAAAGAATTGTAGATTTATTATTTACAAGTATGTTTACAATAGCAAAAATTAATAACTATCTTTCATGTTTAATAAATGAAAGTTAATTAAACAAATTATAATATAAGCATGCAATGGATCACTATACCTTTTAGTAAAAACCACATTTTAAAACATGGGGGAGAAAACAGAATATAAAATACATGAATAATATGATCTTCACGTTGTAAAAAGTAAGTGAGAAAGCCGAGAGGGCCTGGAATAATCCTTCAACAGCTGCATATTCACTAATTATTTAACCTTATAAACCAAGTTTTAAAACCTGTAAATCTGTGTTGTTTCACACACATACATATTTTGGTTCCCTAAACAAACAAACAAAATATATCTTTATATTTATATTAAAATTTCTCTATATAGATATAGATGTAGATACATACACACAGACACGGACATAGATATAGATCTATCTATCCTTCCCTTTTCTGCTGGTATGACCCCATTCTGCTGGTACGGACCAAGGAAAGACCAGGCTCAGAGTAAAAAACTAGTGTAAGCACCTTTTTGAAAGCTGAGGCATTTTGCCAATAACAAGACAAATACAACAGATGCAGAAATAGTAACTTTTCTGTTCCTCAGACACCTAGAGGTGATTTAAGAAAAGAGTTACATTTCAGGCCAGTGTTTTTAGGCAGACAAGTCTAGTTTGTTTGGAAGCAGATATGTACACCTTTGCACGCACCTTTAAAATTCATTTATATTTTTTCCTCACTTTCCTTATTCTCTGTGAGACCTTATTGTGCTAAGCAGTTATCAACCTGCAGGAAAATAATGTAGCTGACTGGGGATAAAAGGATACTAAAAGATTAACTGTAATTTCTAGGGATGAAATTTTGAGAGACTTTTCTTCTCTGAATTTTATGTATGATCTATCTAAAATGAATATATATTCCTTTTTAACCAAAAAAATTTAAAAAGCAATCTCTTCAGCCAAGTAGGTTGGCACATATATATAATTCCACCTACTTGGGAGGCTGAAGCAAGAGGATCACAAGTTCAGCCACTACAAACAATAGAACAAACCAAACCAAACAACTTACACACACCAAAAAAATAAACAAATTGAACTCTTCATTTCCACATTTTTTCATCAAATATTCTCTAAGAGGGTGATTACTACCTGCCAAATTCTCTACTGGGTAGTATAAACATAAAGATAAATGAGGTATGACCCTCTTTTCTTTTTTTTGAGACAGGATTCTCACCAAGTTGCCCAGGCTGGCCTTGAACTTACAACCTTTCTAGCCTCCCAAGTAGCTAGAATTACAGGCATATGCTTCCACACCCAGCACTCTTTCTTTTCTCTCTTGCAGTACTGGAGATTGAACCCAGTGCTTCATGCATGCTAGACAAGCACTCCACTCCTGAGTTACATCCCCAGTGGTACAGTCCTCCTTGAAAACATTAACCCACCAGGTACAGTATGCTTAGCCTCTGTTTTAGGGATGGGGAGAAAAATGAGTAAGACACTTGATCAAGTTCCACCATCCACACTACACTGCCTTCCAGCTTATACTGGGGCAGCAGCTCAGGATTATTCCTCAGAAGCTATGCCTTCAGAGTCCACGATTTCAATCTTCTATAATTCTGCAACAGACTGGAAACACCTGCCCTTAATTTGCAGTGGAACAATGACCAGCAGTAAAAACAGAAGACTAAAAAAGCCATTTTCGTACTATCGTCAGTGTATCACAAATATAAAGTGAAAATGCACAGATTCTCTGCTGTGGACTGGCTTTGATTTTTTAACTCCATCCATGATTAGCCCAACTGCCACAGTGAAAGCGCAGGGGAAAGAAAGATCTTACTGTGGCCTTCTGTTTCCGCAGACCGCGGGAGTTCTGCGGGTGCACTTGTTTCCTGCACTGCTGCTTCTGTCTCTGTCCCTGGCAGCAGCCCACTGCTTCCATCCTCCATTTTCTCTTCATGTTCTTCTGCTTCTTTTTCTTCTTCCTCTTCCTCTTCTTCCTCCTCTTCTACTTCAGGCTCATCCTTTATTCTCATTAGAGCTGGAGGGAGCTCTGGCCGCTTGGGAGGCAACTTCTGAGAGGGAAACAAAACCACAAACAAGTAGTTCCACACGGTGATAAAGAGACAAATCTCTCCTGTTAGGTTAATCCAAGTAGGTAGCATGCATGACCTGTCCACCCCAATAAACCTCACATGAAATTCTGTGCATCTAAGGACACTTAACAAGTATCTTTATTAATTTCTGGAGTAAAAAGATTATTAGGGCTGCTTGCCTGAGATGTGCAAGTCCCTGGATTGGATTCTGGGGAGGCGGGGGTGCATGGGACACAGACACAACAGGACAATAAAGGATTATTAAATACAAAACATTTAAATAGCTTGTACAGAACTAAAACACTTATTCCAGGTGAGTAATAGTTCCAATTCTGTCCTATTATATGTCTTGATATTAAAGGCCCTAAATTTATTACAAAATCTTCTAGGGAGTAAAAAAAGATACACATTCCCAAGAAAGAAATCATTTGTGTATTTTTTCATTTTAGATTCATTTCATGTAATTTCAAGGATCTATGACACACAGAAATCAGTAAAACAGATCCTGAAGATAAGGAAGACATTTCTCAAAAAGCTAGGCCAAACATTCCTTGGGTGTTTTTGTTTTTTGAGACAGACTCTAGTTATGTTATCCATACTGCTTTCAAACTTCTGGGCTCCAGTAATCCTCCTGTCTCAGTCTCCCCAGCAGCTAGCACTACAGCTAGCATATGCCACCGTACTTGGAAGGCATATCAATAAAAGTATTCTAATCAAAGCATGCCAACAAAAGTACTTAGATCTGGGCATGGTAGCACATGTCTATAATCCCAGCTGCTAGAGAGGCTAAGGCAGGAGAGCCTGAGCTTGAGGCCAGCTTGGGCAACACAATGGAACCATGCCCAAATAAACAAGCAAGCAACCAACCAAACAAAACAAAACAAACAAAAGATACTTAGAAGAAAAATACAGCCTCTCTGGGACTTAGAATTAAGAAATCTAAAAAACAACCTGGTAAAGAGAAAAAAGAAGTAGATCTCTGGGAATCAGGAGAGAGCTAACAGAAAAACTAGAAACTACACAGAGTGTGAAATCAGAGCATAACTCCGAGAAAATGAAGCAATCTAGACAGCTGACCCCAACTCCTAGGATGGGGACCTGTCTCACTCACACAAGGTAAGCCTAGAGGGGGTCGGCAGCCCCAGGGAGAAACAATGGACCAAGTTGGCAGCTCTGGCCCCAAGAAAAGCCTACAGATATTGTAAACTACAAAAACAGCATGGAGTTTTACTCTGAAAATGACTCCTTCAGCATGGCAGGCTAGACTTGGAGAAATCCCATGTAATGCCCACCACATTTGAGAGGGTGCATAATCAGAAGTCGTTTGGGGAAAGGGTTAAATGGGGGGGCATTAATTGTTAAGACAGCTACAGAACAGCTAGAGAACAACTGTACTTCAGGGTCTCTGGTTTCACCCTACTGTTACGGACAGCGAAGTTAGGTAGATATATTGTAGGCAGTCAGACAGGGCTAGGCCCTAGGAGGAGCCAGTGCAGAAGATGGGATACACTGCAACTGGGGGGGAGATACATCCATTGAGGGCCAGACCTTAAGATAAAAGATGAAAGAATTCACCCACATACTTCCCTAAGGATAAACAACAGTGATTGATATTCTAAATAGGTATCCAACACCTTGAGAAAGCCAGGAAGAGCTCACAGTTTGTTTTGGCTCACAGTTTGTAGCAGTTTCAATTCACAGTTGGTAGGCTCTAAGGCAGGGAGGAATCACAAAGGATACAAAGTCCATGGCAAAGCAGGCAGGAGACAGTAAAGCAGCAAGCAGCCCTCCTTCTCTCCCTTTACACTCCAACCAGGCTAACTGATCCACCTACACCCAGGGTGGGCCTCCCATTACCCACACCCTGAAAAGACACTAAACTGATTTAGTTATTACACAGCCTTAATCCCAGCATTACATAATCTAGATCCAGCCACCTCCAAAAAGCCCCACCTGTGAGCTCATGAGGCTTTGAGGGGACACATCTAGATATAAGCCATAAAAGGTACCAAACAGAAATCCAGCAGATAAAAAACTATTCAAAGTATAGGCAGCAGAAGTGACCAATGTGGGGAGAAAAACGTGACCAATGTGAGGATGGATACAGTGTCAGAACTTAGAAGACAGGGCTAATGCAGGTGACCTACTCGGAAATACCTTTAAAAAAAGAGAACACAGAAAATGAATCCAACACCTGCTAGATGATGCAAAGGAGACTAATCTAAGATTAATTAAAAGTAATGAAAAATCAGAAGGCAGCACAAATGGCATAAAAAAATTGTTTATACAAATAATAGCAGAAAACTTTCCAAATATGGGGAAAGAATTCAACATACAGAAAAGCAAGACATACAGAACCCCAAATAGCCACACTAAGAGAAGAACTTCCCCATGACCCCTCATGGTCAAAATCCTAGAAGTCTAACACAACCACAGCATCTTAAAAAAATACTACAGAAAAAGCAATAAATCGTGTATAAAGGGAAACCTATTCAAATTACAGCAGACTTCTCAACACAAACCTTAAGAGCCTAAAGTATTTTTTAAACTTAATTATGTTTATTGCTACACTTTAGGTATATATAATAATCATATTCAACATAGGAAATTGGTACCTGTACATGACACAAATTCACTGTTTTTTTTCCCATTCACCTACCCTCCTTCAATCCCCCTTGCCCTCCTTATTTACAAAAGCTTTGTTTCCATTTTTTCTTTCCTTTCTCATCACTTTTTCTTTTCCCAAGTATTTTAAGCCTTAAAAGAAAATTTCCAACTCAGGTTTACAAATCCTGGAAGATTATTTTTCAAAACTGGTAAGAATATAAGGTCTTTCCAAGACAAAGAGCACCATAAGAAATTCTTGACCACCAAAGCTACACTCTAAAACAATTCTCAAGGATATCGTAGAAAGACAAAATGAAGCCAACAATTCCAAAAAGTATAATATAATGAATATACCAGCCAGGGCAAACAGTTAAACAGAGCAGGGGGTAAAGGGAATCAGCAACAGGAAAATAATGCAATGACAGGAATAAATCAGTGCCTTTCAGGAATAACTCTCAATACAAATGGTCTCAATTCCCCAACAAAGGAACAGATTGGCAGAGTGATCAAAAACCACAACTCTTTCGGGTGTGGTGGCATGTATCGGTAATCCCAGCACTTGGAAGGCTGAGGCAGGAGGATAACTTGCCAGCCTGGGCTATATACAGCTATACAGTGAGTTCAAGGACAGCCTGAATTACATAGTGAGACTCCCTCTCAAAAACAAAAAAACGAAGGTATACTGTATAAAAGAAATGCATTTAATTCAAAAGGAAATTCAGAAACTAAAAAAATCAGGAACCACGGATGTAGCTCAGTGGCATAGTACCTGTCTGACAAGTGCAAGGCCCTGAGTTCGATTTCCAGTACAAAAAAAAAAAAAAAATCAAAGGATGGAAAATATTATTCCACACAACAGGAGCCTCCAAACAAACAGGAATAGCTATCCTATTTTCAGGCAAAGTGGACGTCAAGCCAAAACTGATTAGGAGAGGTAAAAAAGGTCACTACATATGGTTAAGGAAAAAATTCAACAGGAAGAGATAACAATTATAAACATATATGTACCAAACACTGGCATACCCAACTTCATAAACATCACTGGCTACTGGGTATAAAGTACAAGATAGCTGGGTGTGGTGGTACATGCCTATAATCCCTGCACTTGGGAGGCTGAGGCAGGAGTATTACTGGGAGTTCAAGGCCAGCCCAGGCTACACAGTGAAACCTTATCCTAAAAATCAAAAATAAGATAAATATCAATACTATTACAGCAGGGGACCACAATATCCCCTTTTCACAAATAAACAGATCAACTAGAAAAAACTAAAAGGAACAAAAAAAATCAGAGTTAAAGCAAATCTTTAAACAAATGGACTCCATAGTTACCTATGGAGTGTTCTAGCCAACAACAGAATATACATTTTTCTCAGCAGCACACGGAAATTTCTCCAAAACAGATCACATATTAGTCCATAAAGCATGATTAAATAAACACAAAAGAATTAAAACTATCCCATGTGTAATACCAGATCATAGTACAATTAAACTAGAAATCAATGGCAAAAGAAACCACAGAAATTATGCAAATATACAGAAATTAAACAATATACTCTTGAATAATCAATGGGTCACAAAAGAAATTAATGCCTAGAATCGAATGATAAGGCCAGTACAACATACAGGAACCTAGGGAACACACTGAAAATCAATCTTAAGAGGAAAGTTTATAAATGCACAATATCAGAAAAACAGAATGATCCCAAATAAATAATTTAATGATGTACCTCAAGGTCCTACAAAAAAAAGAACAATCCAAATCCAAAGCTAGTACAAGTAAATTTTAAAGATTAGAGCAGAAATTAATGAAAATAAAACTAAAAAAGAATATGAAGAATCAATGAATCGAAGAGCTAGTTCTCTGAAAGAATAACAAAATAGACAAAGCCTTAGCCAGTCTTACCCAAAAAAAGAGAAAGAACAACTCAAATCAATGTAATTAGAAATTAAAAAAGAGAGATCACAATGGACACCTTCAAAATCCAGAAGGTTGTTAGCAACTACTTCATAAACCTGTATGCCAATAAATTGAAGAATCCATAAGACATGGCTAGATGAATTACCAAATACATACGATACATATGAATTACCAAAACTGAATTCCCGGTACCAAAAAAACAAACAAACGAACAAAAAAAACAAAACTGAGCCAAGAACATACAAAAACCCTGAATAATCAAATAACAGGGATTGAAATTAAGCAGTACTTTAAAAAAAAAAAAGACTACCAACCAAGAAAAGCCCAGGACCCGATTCAGTGGATTCACCATGAATTCTAAAGAACTTGAGGGAAGACCTGAAGGTCAACACTCTCAAACTCTTTAATGACACTGAAAAGGAAAGAGTACTCCCTAAATCATTCCTGGAAGTAA